GATGATTGGGTGACTAGGTAGCCATGTGAGCTTTTAGCTGATCGTTTTCTTCTTGTGTTGTTAGATCCCTCTTACCATTGCGAGTAACGTCACAGTTGTCACTAGTGAGTATGATGGAGGCATAGGATTAGTCCACGCCCAAATGTTGATTGTCCCGAAATGTTTTATCCCCTAGCCAACCCCTTTGAGCCTTGTGACTTTAAGGGTCGTTCTCTTGTAGTAGCTTTTTGCTTGTGAGCTTAATAGTGTTTGATAGAATGACCCCCCATCCTTTCTTTGTGTCTATACGTGAGTCATCCTTGTGTCCCGGAGCTCCGCTTGTGAGTTCCATTGAAGTTCTACATAGGAGGATTGTGTTTGGTTCTTGCTAGGAATGAAAGAGAAAAGAGTATTGTTGGAGTGAGTTCTTAAAAGAGAGCATTGGTTGTTAAAGGTAATGTGGCATGTATTTCACTCTCTAGTACCCCCCTCATAAAGAGAAGAGAAAAAGAAAGAAAAGGAAACGAAAAAGAGGTAATAAAATGGGGAAAATAAAGTAGATAGTGCCAGAAAAGAATCAAAGAGTATGCTCTAAGTGGGGTTTCTTGGCACTCAAGCCATTGAAACCCCCAGTTTTAGAATTCCTTCACTACCAAATCGAAATGTGATAACAAGAGTAGATCGAGGAAGAGCGCTTAAAGGTAGTTCATGATGGGTGATAGTTTGGAAGGGAGAAGCAAGGTTTTTGGCTGATGCTAGTGGCCATTGTTTGTAGGTAAGGTTATTAGTCGAAACCATAGAACCTTCGGATTTAGGGGGAATATATAAGAACTCATGATGTGTTTGCCACCACCCAAAAGCCCTTTTCCCCATGTCCAAGACAATTTTCAGTCATTTGAACCGTGTCTAAGACCCCCGACGAGCTAGTGATGACAGCCGTTTCGTGAACTCTAACATTTAGAGGTTGCCGCCCTGGTTAAGAGACGGTAGGGCCGAGTGTTGATGATTGTGCACATTTTTTGCACCAAAAACGTCCCGACCCCACTGGTCAAGAGAGTGAGTGATTCATTCTTGCTTGCATGTCATAATTCATACCATACCCTAGTGAGGACCTTTGTTGCCCATTCGTTTGTTCCTTGGACTTGAATGTTATGCATGTTTAGTTTTGGTTGATAAGTGATCTTGTTGAGACTTGCATTGATTCGTGAACAAGGTGAGAACTTTTTTTTTTTGCCCATTTTTGGTGACCTCGAATGTTGTTTGATTTGGGCCTAATTGCACACATTTTATCCCCATTTCCCTTGGACGTTTGTAGCATTTGAACTCCTAAAAAGTTGGTTTTACGCTAGGCTGTGTGCGTTTTAGTGTGTTTCAGGATCCAACAGGTGAAACCAGCCCCGGAGTCGAAAGTTGGACAAGAAGAGGGAAAGATGGGGCAAAGAGGGTGATTTAGGCGAGGTTCACGGGTTATCATTGGAGTTCATGGTCTCCTATGGTCGTGAACTCAAGCCCAAAACTGTGAACTGCGAGGCGTCCAGGGAGAAATCTGCAGTTACTAACGCAAGGCGAGTTCACGGTCAACAAGACCGCGAACTCCTGATGGTGAAGCGGTGTGTTTCGACACAACGCTCTGTGTTCACGAACGCATTGAAGAGTTAACGGCCATGAACTGGGCCATGAACTGAGGCCGTGAATTGAGCCCGATCCTGGTATAAAGTGTGAGCTGAAATAAATAGAGAGGGGGATCCCAAGTATGAGAAAGTGTATTCTTCTTCAGATTTTAGAGAGAGAAAGGATGAACCAAGGAATAAGCAAGGCTAGAGTTTGCTCCAAGTGGTGAATTGGGAAGAATCTCTCGAAGAGAAGATCAAGAAAAGCTTAGAGGAGATTGGAGGCATCATCATGATGGTTTCTACCTCTTTCTCTTGTGTTCTTCCCCTTTCTAGCATGGAGTAGTACTGTTTTTCACTTGGGTGTTGTGAAACCCTAACTATTTGCCATGTAGTTGTAGTGTGACTTGAATGATTGTTTATGGGTGTTGTTTAATTTAATGATTGAGGTATCTGCATGTGTGTGCTTAGCAATCTAATTGGCCATTCTAACCTAGGTTAGAGGGGAAACCCCATTTCCAAAAGAGGCTCAATTGAGTTGGGATTCCTTGGGCTTGACAAGCCACCTACCTAGGTTAAGGTAGGGCAAACTTCTATCTTAAATTAAGCAACTAGGTTAATCATGATTAACCTGTCCAACCATAGGTTTGTGGGAGAAGGTAAGTCAACCCTTAATTGCCTTAACCAAGAGGGCTACACTTGTAGCATATAATGTATTCCTTGGTTTGGCAATTGAGAGTGTGGTCCTCGACCATAGTTGCACCTCCTAGCGCTTTCGAGTCTACGTGCCATGGTAGTAGTTAGGGAGAAGCGACACCCAAGTGATCCTTCTCATCTAGAGCTTTCAAACCATTTACCTTTGCCTTGTTTTAATTTAAATATCATATTTTTCAACCAAAAACCAATTCGCTAGATAATGCTTCAAACAATGTAAGTAGGGGTACACAGGTCAACCCGGGTTGATATTTAAACATACTTGCCTTTGAGAATTGATTGTGATATTCGGGACGAGTCATCGTTTGTGGTGGATGTCGGTATTGCTTGCAACGGTCCATGTGTTAATTGCCCATAGCCATTGAGATTCACCACTTTGTGCCCTTTGATTAATCCCCAAAACATTTTGTTAGGTTGAGATATTACCTTGTGTGAAATGGTTTGCTTGGGGACAAGCAAACGTCTAAGTGCGGGGGAGTGATTCGGGCCTAATTGTACACTTTTTATTCCCGTTTATCTTTGACATTTGTTGCAATTGAACTCTAAAAAGGGTGGTTTTCCGCTAGGTTTCTTGTGTTTTAGTGTGTTTCAGATCCTAACAGGTGAAACCGACCTCGGAGTTGAAAGTTGGAAGAAAAGGAGCAAAGACCGGACAAAGAGGAGGAGACAACCTTTGTTCACGGTCTACCATTGGAGTTCACGGTCTTACAGGACCGTGAACTGGAACCACAATCCGTGAAACAAGGAGCTTCCAGAGAGGGTTCTGCAACCACAAACCTTGAACCCAAGAAGTGAAGCGGTGCATTTTGATCTAACACGCTGTGTTCACGGACGCGTTTTGATGTTAACGGCCGTGAACTCAGGTCGTGAACTGGGCTCGATCTCAGTATAAATAGCCAGCTGAAAGAATGAAGAGGGGGAGAGACCTATTGTGAGAAACCTTTTCTTCTTTAGATTTTAGAGTGAGAAAGTGACGAACCAAAGAAGAGGAGAATCTAGGGTTTCATCTCCAAGCAAGGATTTGGGAATTCCTCCCCCAAATTAGGATCTCTTCAACACAAGGAGCAAGGCTTGCATATTCTTAATGGTTTTCCTTTCCCTCTCTTGTGTTTTCCCTTCTCCTAGCATGGAGTAATCCATTCTTTCACTTGAGTGTTTGTAAACCCACACTTACAATTATGTGAATACTTGTATGAGTTGAATGATTTTGTGTGTGGATGTGTTTAATGTGAAGTGGAGGTATTATTCATGAATGATTGTGTTGTGTTGTGTGAAAGCCTATCAATCTAATTGCCATTCTAACCTAGGTAGAGAGAAAACCCTCCTTCCTTTCTTTGAAAGAGGCTTGAATGCTGGATTTTCTTGGGTAATTCGTTACCTCCTAGTTAGGTTAATGCAAGAAAATCTCATATTTCATATTAACATTAGGGTTTGGTTGTGGCTGGGTGTCCGAATTCCAGTTCGAGGGTGAAGTCTAACATTTCCTTAGTTAATAGGTCGAGAGGGTCAGATTAGTGGTTTGGATCGTATCCCATTTCCTCAACCTAGAGACTAACAGGGTAACTTAGGCTACTTGTTGGACAACCATTACTTAGTCAATAGGTTTAGAGGGTCGCATCGGTGGCTTTGATCGTATCTCATTTCCTCAACCTAGAGACTAAGAGGGTAGCTTTGGCTACTTGTTGGACAAACATTCCTTAGTCAATAGGTCGAGATGGTTGCATCAGCGGCTTGGATCGTATCACATTTCCTCGACCTAGAGACTAAGAGGGTAGCTTTGGATAATTGCTAGACTTCCCTGCGGTTTATAACCCCCTAACCACACACGATAGTTCGATTCTTCAAGTCGTAATTGTTAGTTAGGGGGACCAACACCAGGTGAAGCCTTCTCGATTAGTGTCAAATCCATTTTACCTTTGCAAAGTAATTTAGCTTTAGAGCTTTGTTTAACCAAAACCAATTCGCTAGATAATGTTTCAAACAGTCGAAGAAGAGGTACATGGGCCGACCCGGGTCGATATTTATACATAATTGCTCTATATTGTACCCATCTAAAGTTTATATTTGGACCTTAGGTGAAATTTTATTGTGATAGTCATAGCGAGTAATGAACGATATTGTGGTAAAAGTAGGACTAGGGTGTTACAGTTGATCTCATGACTTCGACTTTTGTTTTCCTTTTTCATTTATTCTTTTGTGCCTTGGTGGCAAGAAAATGTTAACTAGTGGGGTTTGCCCTGTCTCCCATTCGTGTGATCAATGTAAGAGAATAAACAAGTAAATAAAGTTACTTCCTTCGACATTTCAATTACAGCATTGGAGTTGACTAAATAAGTTACAGTATTGGAGTTTTTGCAACAACAAAGGGGGAAAAAAATATGAGAGAGTGAAGTTGAACTTCATTTTTTGTCTGCTTTCCTATGACCAAATATTGTGTGTTGAAGCAAAAAAGGAAGAACAGAAGAGAAATAACAATGGCAGAAAACCAAGTAAAAGAGAAAGAGTGTTTTGACTTTTTGAGGAGGAGAGGAGCAAGTATATATTAATTACCATTATGTTGATTTGGGGGTATAGGTGACTTCAAAAATAACCCTGTAGCTGTAAAAGAATGAATGAATCTGTACACTCATTGATGACTTTCCTCAGTGTAGAGTAGTAGTGCTCTTCCTCTGATGTTGTTGGGCGAAAATTCTGTTTTCACAAGTTAGAGATCAAACCCACAAGTGGCTGCTGCTCATGCTGGTGACTAGTTCCACCGCTCCACCATGGATTGAATCCCACCACATCATTAATGTTACTGTTACTTTTGTTGTTCTCACTCTCTTCCTCTACTGGAGCAGGAAGATTGAGATCCAAGAAATCCTTCATCGTCGGAATCTTACCAGCACCATCTGCAGTTTCTGTTAGTGTAGCCATTGGAACATTATTGGCTGCTTTACCCTCACTGCTACCAACCAAATGAGACCTCTTATGGCCACCAAGGGCCTGTCCTGATGAAAACACTTTCAGACAAATGGGGCACTCATGTATCGTGCGTCCATGGCTGTTGTTGTTACTTCCCTTCTTCCTTCCTGATCCACTCGCTACATTCGGAGTAGGACTGGGCGAGATTTTAGTGGCAAGGAGCTCGTGCTTGATCGATTTCGTGGCAACGAGCTTAGTTGTTCCAGGTGGAGGATCTGGAGAAGAAACAACCGGTAGTAGTTGATGAGGTTGCTTGTTAATGGTGGGAGATTGATCAGTGGATAACAATTCCTTATCAGTGACGATGGTTGTCTCATCGGTGGTGGGGATGTCAACAATGGAAGCAAAACAGCCTTTGATCTTCTTGTGGCTTGCTCTGTGGCCTCCCAATGCTTGGTATGAGTGGAAAGCCTTATTGCAAGTATGGCACTCAAACTTGCTGTTGATAACTACTTCTGGGTCCCAACCAATATCTTCCTTTAGCAAATCTTGCTGCCTCTTCTTCCTCTTCCCGCCGTTAGCTGGTGATTCAGTTGGAGGCAGGGAAGCAGACAATTCTGATTTCATAACCACAATACCTTTGAGCTTGGCTGGTGGGGCAGGGGCTGTTGATTCATGAGTCCCATTGACATTACAGAGAGAGCTGAACTTGTTCGCAGATTCCGAGAAGAGCGAATTGTTGTCTGAAGATTCGGCGGCAGCAGCAGCAGGAGAAGAAGAAGGCCAGTTTTGGCGAACATCTCTGGAAAGCAACATGAGGCATAAAGCAACTTCTTCTTGTTCTTGCTCCACCCCTGAAACTGCAGAAAAAGAGGAAGAATTCGCAGCAGCAACGATCCCCAATTGCCTGGTCGATCTCCTCTTAGATCTCTTCTTTCTATTCAGGGTCGTCTCGTTGTCAGATTGGCTGTCCTTCACCAGCTTCTGGTTCAGCATCATCATGTTGTTATTAGCACTATTGTCCCAAGAATCCGAATCGGAATCGGAATCCGAATCCTCTTGATCAATACCATCCTCCTGCTCTTCTGCTTGTTTGTTGGAGGAATGGTGGTGGCGGTGATGATGGAGCTTGATGTGGTCAAACAAGGCCTTCCATGACTGGTAACTTTTCCCACACTCTTTGCACGGCTTGTCACCAACGAGACCATCATGGTGCGAGGAAGCTGCTGCTGCTGGGCCTCTACTCTTCTGATTTTCGCGGTGCGATCCTGCACCTTGTTCTGCATTCACCATCATTCCATCATTGCCAATGGCAGTAGGAAGGGAAGGAAGCTTCTTTCTGGTGATGAGAGTGCCATCAGTTTGAGCGGAGACATCGTTAATCATATGAGACCTCATGTGACCACCCAGAGATCTCCCACAAGGGAAGCTCTTGCGGCAGAATTTGCACACATGTTTCGATTGAGGATGATGACGGTGCTGATCATCTTCCTCCATGGATTTATGATTGATGAATTCAGTTCCTTACAAGAGCAGGAAATAGTAAGGTAATGAAATAGGTGGGAAACAGAGAAGCCCCCACAACTCCCTTGAATGTGTGTTTTTTTTTTTTTTTTCTTCTTTTGCTGGGGTTTTTGTTCAGGTGATTATAAAAGCACCCATCTGAGGGAACTTCACTGAAATTGGAGACACGGGAGCAGAAAGAAAAGATCTTTGGAGAGAGAGAGAGGAGGAGTGAGGTGGAAGTGAGGAGCATACGTTTATTGCAGAAGCAGCAAAGCAAAAGCTAGTTGCTTTTGTGGGGTAGCTGAAAATCTGAAGAAGAGAAAGGGGAAGAGAAGCAAAAGAAAAATATGAAGGTAACTGAAAAAGGACAGAAAAGGATGCTCGGAAAGAGAATGGTAGTGGGAGTGTACGTCCTGTCCTGATTTATTTATTCATTAATTAAAAAATGCTGTTCTGTTTCCTTGGTTTGTTCCTTTCGCTCTGTTTCACAACACAGCACAAGTGGAGCAATTGAGATTACAACTCTATTTGGGCTGGGAGGAGAAATCCATGCACGGAACGCTACGAAAGGAACCAAACAATGAGTGTTAGTTAATAAGCATTTCTTTCAGCCACCACAAAGAAAGAAGCATAAATAGTTGGGAAACTGAGAGGGAAACAAGAGGTCGGAGCAACACAGCACGTGTACGTCTGGTAATTAGTACGTAACTTTGGCAGCCTGCAGCAGCACAAGGATGACATTCAAAACATTACTGCGGCTACCCGATCATCCCTACTTAATCAACGTCGGAAATTTTCATTTTAACTGGACATAGAACGGGTAAAGGTAAAATTCGAAAAACGTTTTATGAGTATGGATAAAACTCTCAAAACATTGCATTCTATCTTATGGATTAATGGATGTCTTAAGAATCATATGCTTTGAACTGTGTTAAGAATGATTGTCCTTTTATCGACTTCATGATATTGTAGGTATATTTAGTATTATAATTGAAAATTTACATATAAAATTTTAGGTGTTATAATGTTGGATGTACGACACGGGTATTACCCATTAATATTCCAAACCCACAGCTATGAGAATGGATTTGCAAACCTTCCCCATATAGGTATGAGCGAGCATGGATTTGTATATTTGAAAGCGGGGATGAGAACGATTTAGACAAAACCCATTCCAAACCCGCCCCATTGTCATCCTAAACATCAACAAGAATTAATAAACTAAATGATACAAGAACAAATCGGTACTAATTAATTAGGCTGTCCCATTTAATTTCGATGGGTTTCCAATCGGTTGTTCCAAGGTTAATTAGAAGAATAATTAGATGGAGCAATCATAATTAATGGCTAAGCCAGATAGGTTAGCAGCTCAGAGCACTCCCCTCCCAGGTGGCAATGAATAGATAATAGAGAAAAATATTTGATGGTATAGAGTGAAATAAAGGCAAACCACTTGCATCTTCTATTGTCTTCATTGATACTAACTCATGTTTTCTCTGTTATTATATCATTATTATTTTAACTGTTTGTTCTTTCTTTTTTGGTTGTATTGGGGAGTAGTGCTTGGAGATGGCATGAAGGAAAGATAGGAAACAAGGAAGCTTAGGAGGGACCAAACAAACAAGTATTTGTCAATTCTTTTATTGTGAGGTGTCTTTGAGCCGGGACTACTTCTCTATTCAAGTGAGCTTAATATCTTTTCTTCATCTACTCCTTTTTTTTCCTTGTAAAACAAAGCTTAATATTACAAACATACCCCTCTACTTTGGCAAATTAACAAACATACCCCTTTACTAAATTTTTGCACAAACATACCCCTCTAATATTAAATCATAACAAGTTTACCCTTCCATCTAATTATCCGTTAAGTGACCGTTAAGTGAGATAGAAAATGACCAAATCACCCCTCATTTACTCTTAATTTCAGTTTTAATGATTTTATTGTTTATATCCATGATCAATTAATTATAAAAAAAAAACCCTAAACAAATTTAGAAGCACCCGAGATAGTCAGAGACCATCCGTCTCCCTGGAACCTGCTCTTGCGTCTCCTACCGACGCCGCCTATTCCCCGCAGCCGCAACTCCTCGCCGACAGCAGCTGGAGTAGAGAGAATCACCTACTGTCCAGCCACCAGCTGAAGTCCCTCCGCCACGTTCAGATATCGGAGATCGATATGCTGATGAAGGAATTGCATCAAATCAGCCAGAGCCAGAGCATGGGAGTTGCTGGGATCAATGAGTTCCTGGAGCAGCTAGCTTGTAACACGATCACGAGGTTGATAGCCGGGAAGAGGTATTTCAATCACAGGGGTGGGGATCAAGGAAGAGAGGAAGGGTAGCGGATTGGTGGACCGATTAAGGAGTTTATGCATCTGCACCAACTTCGTACCGTCAGATTTCATCCCGTTTCTGGTAGTTAATGGTCTGCTCCGGGGAACACTTTGTCTATCGGTTGCTTGTAAGGTTTTGACGATGATCTCTACTACAGCTGCCACCGGCGCGGAGTTGCGGGAGTAGGCACCGCCGACGTGGAGATGCGTGAGCAGGTTCTAGGGAAGGGTTCAGGGAGACTGATGGTCTCTAACTCTCTCGAGTGATTCTAAATTTATTTAGGGTTTTTATTTTTTTAATTAATTGATCATGGACATGAATAATAAAATAATAAAAATTGAAATTAAGAGAAAAAGAGGGACAATTGAGTCATTTCCTAACCCATTTAACGGTCGCTTAACGGAAAATTAGATGGAAGGGTAAACTTGTTACGATTTATTATTAGAGGGTTATGTTTGTTCAAAAATTTAGTAGAGGGGTACGTTTGTTAATTTGTCAAAGTAGAAGGGTACAAACTGCTATTAACCCTATTACAAAATATTCAAACATTTTATGTATTAACCGGAAATAAGCAAATTTATTTTGAAATATAATCAAATAGTCAAACCATTTAGAATGATCGAGAATTGATAAAATCTAAAATAGGAGTTATTGATTTTTTTTTCGTTGAATAAAATAGGAGTTATTAGCCTTTCATTTCTTCTGTGTTTCTGTGTTATAATAATCACACTTTGGTAATTTTTGGTTGATTTCGTGCTAAATATGATTAAATGTTCATATAATAACATTTTAATACAACTTTTAATATCATTTGGGCCGTAACTCATTCATTCTCATCTTATTTTAGTCTAGATTGTGTCTTTGTACTACTCTCATGTCCTAGCATTAACTATTTGATTCGGGTGTATTTATGCGTGTTCTACCCTTCATAACTTGATTGTTTAACATTGTAATCGACATTCCTCGGCCTATTTACGCCGGTTGTGCTTCTTTTATCACATTTCAGGTTCTAGTAAGTGTGTGAAGGTTGGGGACGAGTTTACAGACATTCAGAGGTAAATGAGCCAAAAAGCGAAATTGTGCAAGGTTCACGGGCTAGGTGTAATGTTCACACCCTGATGGAGTGAAAATCACACCAAAACCGAGGATATTGCGAATTTCCAGCAGTCTTTGTGCATCACGCGAGTTGTGTACACTTCACTATCTGGGAGTGAAAATACCATCAAAACAGTAAAGTGTGCACAAAACATGGAAAAAATCCAAAACTACCATTATTTTTTTAAAAAAATTACAAAAATACCACTCATTCCCAAGAATTTCCAAAAATACCACCGTTTATAAAAAAACCGCTCCACTAAGGGGCGGTTAATAAAGAAACCGCACAACCAGGCCGCGGTTTACCATAGAACCGCCTGGTCAACATGCGGTTTGCCTATGTTGGCAAAAATGCTCTTCGAAACAGCGATTTTCATGGCTGCCCTACGACAAAACGCTTCCTCAGGGAGCGGTTACATGTCGGCATGGTAAAACGCTCCACAGAGAAGTGGTTTACCATGTCGACACATAAACCGCTCCCCCCACCAGCGGTTTGTGCCTGGTTCACCCGACATCCGACATGTCGACATGTAGGAGGCTGTAGGGGTGGGGGTTGCATGTCAGACTAAAACCTCCCCCCCCCCTCCCCGGTTTATAGTGTAAAATTTGCCTATAAAAGGCAGGTACAGAAAAGTCAAAATCTTCACTCCACTCTTCCTTCTTCTTCAAATTTCAGTTGTGCACCTTTAAATTATTTAGTTTTTGCGATTAACGTTAATTCGTAAGTTTGTCTTGTATTACTTTTCATTGTCCTTTGTGATTTTTATGTTACTAACGTAATTACAGTTTTATTGGAGATGGCATTACAAAGGTTCACGCTGGGGTTGCGGTGGAATGGTTACACTGAAGAGAGTGAAAAGGGTGTAAGTTACGTGGGTGGCAATTTTTATAAAATGAAGGTCCGTACGGGACTGATGCTTGAAGCTCTCCATCAAATGTGCACTCGGATTACCTGCATGGATGGCACTAGAAGAGTTGATCGTATGGTGTATCGATATCCAAACAGACATGGTGGGTCGCTGTGGAATGAGGAATTCCTCCTTATCACTCAGGAGGACGTTGATGTCATGGTCCAATTTTTGACCACCAATAAAATTAAACAAGCAGAGATGTTCGTTTACACCGAGGTGGTCGAAGGCGGTGCAGGTCAATCTGGAGATGGCCAAACATTTGGTATCCACGGTGGCAGTGTATTATACGAAGATCATCCCCATCAGGAGTACCAAGACTCGAGTTGGAGGAAGGAGTATCATGATGGAACTGGAGTTCATCATCAATCCTTCCCATCATATGAAGAAGAAGCTCAACAGGCGGATGTGAACCAACAAGCAGGCTACTAGTACCCACCCGAGTACAACTTCTACCAAAGCGGCGTTAGTTACCACAACTACCATTACGGAGCTGGTGAAGGTGAATGTTCCTTTCATGATGATCAACAGAAGGAAGAAGAGGTCAATCCAAGTCCAGTTAGTAACCCTGAGGTTGAAGAAGAGGAAGGCGATGTTAGTGCATACAACTTCGATCCTCTTGAAGGTGCAGATGATTCCGGTCCAGATTCAGACG